ACTTAGGGCTTAAATCACCTATTGTAGACCGGCACTAAAGGAACTAAAATATAGTTAATTTCTATGTTAAATAACCATATGGAACTAGAACAATAAGCAATTAGTAAAATTGATTAATAATGGAAATAAGGGCAAATGGTTAAATAATTGTTCTATATTCCATAGGCATAATGCAGAAATAGATGCGGTACTTAATTATTAGTTGAAATATGGTTTTGAAAAATGACGGGATGTTACAGTAGATAACTCTCCTTACTTTTCCTTCATGGGTACCCAGTACGTTAAATTCGATGCGCACCGAAACAGAATTGGATTGACGACTTCGGTGGAAACTAGACTCATGTCGCCTTTTGCCGCATCCTGTGTGTAGGAGCCCTTATTCCAAAGCGAAATACGGGAGTTAGCTACCTATTTATTTATATCATCTGTGATTGATAAAAACATAACCTACGAATTATTTGATATATTGTTTGTATGCAGTGATATAATCGAGTGAAAATGTCATTGAAAAGAAAATTGACGCAAGATGACTTGCGTAAGGCGATGAGTGAGCAGAAGAAAAAACTCGGCATAAATAAAAAGATCGATTCACCATTAGCAAAATATCCTTTTTATAAATCTGTAAACAAAATTTAAAAAAAAGATATTTTTAATCTTCAAAACAATCACATTATACATTTTTATTATACGATATTTTTTTATTATATATCTTACTATTTAACTTTATAGAATTTTTAGAACTTTACTGTGAACAGTAAACAGTGCAGCTCTTCTCACATTAATTAATATGAATAATTTTCAAAATTTTAAGTTGATGTAATTATGAAAATAAATGAATTAACACACATGTATAAATTTTACATAGGCGTTTTAATTATGATATATATTATAAATAATTTATTATTTTTACATTAATAAAAGTAAAATAAAAGAGATATGATTTAGAAAAATAATTAAATATCCATTTATTATCATTAAAGTGCAGTAGTATATTTAATTTACTGTTCTATTTTTTTTCAATTACTATTCTATTTTTCCATTTAATAATTTTTTTGTTTCTAGGTACGTAATGTTGAATATAAAGATCCCATTGAAGAAGAATGGGAAAAATTTCAAAAAGAAATTAAAGAAGAGACTGCGCAATCTGCACAAATTATTGCTGATGATCAGGAGGAAGCAACAACAGAACGGCAATTGGATGAAATTGAGGAGCAAATTAGGCATTGGTCTAGGTATTTTCAATATTCATATCTGAGAAAATAAATGATTTAAATATATATGTATATTTTTTAAGTTAATTTTTTTATTAAAGGGTAATAGATCTTGCAAAACACATGGAACAAGTTCAAGGTACTGATAGAAAACAAGAAAATATCGACGATGATGTATTAAGCAGTGATGAAGCAGAGTTTGAGGAGTTTCTTGACTGGCGAGCAAAAAATTCATATAAATAAAACATTTTATGTATAGACAGCAATTTTGTAAATATTCTGTACTTTCTTGACAAGAAAATTATTTACTTAAAGTTACAAAACTGTTATATTTATATTTTATTGCTTTTTCTTTAATCATAAAAATATTGCTGTAATAATGATAAATATATATAAAATGATAAATATATATGGGTTATGTCTTAAAGATTGTTACATATCTAATGCAAGAAATACTAATGTCTACAATTAATTTTGCATTATATATTTTTTACTTAAAAAAAGTAAAAAATTTATTATTTATTATAATTTGTTTGCTTTTTGTTTAAATATGTATATATTCTCATAATTATTTAGCTTTATATATACAGCTAGATTTTTTATTCTATTTAATTTTCTGATGATATTCAAATTATGTCTTTTGCCGGTTTAACCGCTCTAGATGACTAAAATAATTGCTAAGGAAGAAGATCAAATTTTAATATAATTCTTATGTGTGTAGTGTGTATTATAATATAAGATTTTATTAAAATGAATTTGAAGAATCAGAATATAATAAAGTTTTAGATACATTGGTATAGATTTTACTTATTAATCGTTGTGTAAGAGAACTATATAATGTGAAAAGTATAATATAAAGATATGAGATATATGCTAAGCTAATAAAATTAATATAGATAAGTAATTACGACATAGATCATATAATTTAATAATATTTGCTTTCATTCACACACACACACTGTTCTTTATAAAATATTGAAAATAAAAGAAAGAGAAAATCACGTATATTATTATACAGCAATCATATTGTATTTCTTAAATATTCCTATCAACGTTTTCATTTAATTGTTTTCAAATTATGCAATATTATAGTTGTTTAATGAGATCATCGTAAGTACGATACAATATGATCAATAAGTGAGTTTTGCTTGTAATTTTTGTTGCTGTCCAAAAATAATCACTAGATATTTTTAGAGGTTCTATTGGTATTATTAGCGTTTTAATATTTTTATTTGCAAATTTATTTATCGCGTAAATCCGCATTAATGTTTAGATCAATACAACCTATGCGTTGATGCAATTTTATACACTGGGTGTCCCATTTAATTTAGGCACTATACATCTAGAATACACATATCTCCGTTATTTCTTAAAATACGAAGAAACGCCAAAGGAAAAGATTATTGTGTCAAAAGGGCAACCGTTATGATGATAATGAATGCATTGTAATAGCTATATAGGAGCAGAAATTCGTTTTTATTTATTAGCTACAAAAAATATATCGTAGTTAAATGGACATTATTTTGAATATTTGTTTGTTGAAATTTTCTTTGCTCATCTCTCTATCATAAATTATTTCATAATTTATATCTGTTCTCATACATTTTTGCATTTTCGTACTCATTGTCAGTCACGTAAAGATCATATAATACTATTATAGATTATTAAATTGATCTTGATCTCATTGTCAGTTATTATAATGCAATGAAAAAAATATATAATTTTATTTAAACAAAATATCGATGAGTTTATAATCTCGAAAAATATGTATAACTGCGAGAAAAAATTTTATTTATTACAATAACATTGAACCTTTTGACACAATCTTTTCCTTTGAAGTTTTTTTGCATTTAAAAAAATAAAGGAGAGATATCCTAGAGATACGCTAAATTATGTATACATATAAAAAATATCCCACTCAAATAAATAACAGAAATATTTCGGGTAGACAAAGTTAACATAGATTATACTATATTATATATTGTATATATAGTATAAAATTTATATTCTATAATCACAATGCATCGTCAGTACCGTTGACAATCTGCTACTCAAAGAACGATAAAACAGACAAAATATCTGTAAACAATAATACATAAATACAAGCATAAATTTTAAGAATATACATAATATATTACATATTATATATCATATTGTACATATATATAATATGATGAATTTTAGTGCGATTCTCAAAAGCTTAATAATAGAATATGTTAATACATATATCGCAGTATATAGTCTTTTAAGAGCAAGCAATTTTAGCGCTCAGATTATAAATCTTATCATTATATACGTAAGAAAAAAGCATTTATTTTGTCGACTTATACAATTATGTAATATAATATATATTTACTATAAGTAGAAGTATATTATGACAATACCGGTGCTGAGTTTGACAGGATTCGCAAAAATGGTAAATTCTTAGGAGTATTAATTATTTTTCAAGATTATCAAAAAATACCGTCGATCCTGCTCGCACATTTATCATCGAAATGATCATCGTTTAAGTATATATGCTTCGATCATCTCTATCGCTTTTCCTTGCAAAATTGTATTGTTGGTAATCGCCACCCACGTAGCACAGAATTGCAGCAATATTGCGGCAATGTTGCAATATTGCTCTAATGTTCTATGTTATGTGCGCATTGTACCGCCTAATTTTGGAATAACAGTAATTTTATGCGTCGACGACAATTGGGACGCCTGCAGAATACGATTGATCGAAATTAATCGATCAAAGTGAATCGAATAGAAAAATCTTATTCAGAAATTCTTCAAATTTCACAAGCCCTAGTTAAAATATCGCTAATTTCATCTTTTCTATGATTATTAATAACTTTTCTCTTATTACCTCTATATATTGGTCAATAAACAATTGTAGATTATTTGCATAGTTTGACATTTTATCACGTTGGAACCTTTCTGTTGAACATTTTTTGGGAGAACGAGTGATGATCCAAACACTTCCCCTATATTTGGATCACAACGTCATTCTTTGTTGCATCATTCTCGTGTATTTTATCTATTCCTCATTACGATATTAAGAAAATCTCGAGCATACTAATCTACAGTCCCCATTGCAATTGTGATTTGGTTGTTGAAACGAGATCGTAACTGTTTCAACAGTTACGGGATTTGTTGACTAATGATAATACAGATGAGGGATCGGTTTGGCACGCGATAATGCGCAATGCAAACACTTCAGATGCATACAACAACTAAAGTCTAATCTCCCATTTACGAATTACTTAGTGGATAATTATATATTCGGGAGTTAATGATTAAAATTTAAAACTACCTAATTACAATATACTTTGAGAATTGGTGTATAAAATGAAATTAATTGTGATAAGAGAAAGTTTTAATTACATGTTATATTTATCTACATTTATCATCAATTTATCAAATAAACAAATCCGTCAAATAACGAAGAAAATTACTTATAGTGCGCAAAACCAATATTACAAAGTACCAGCACTTTAGAAAATGCCATTCTTATTAACATCACACTTTTGCTGAGAAATGATCGTAGTGTGCAAAACATGTGACTTAATTCCTTATTTGTAGAATTAGTGATTTGTAGAGTTGGAGAAAGACTTATACATTAAAGTGAGTGAGCATCTTCAAGTAATAAAGAGAGAATAGGCACTCAGTTTGTTCCAGCTCTTATCTCTTTTTCTATCTTTTTTCGTTTTCTTTTTCTTTCTTTGTTTATAAGGGCGGAGAGAAAAATTTGTGCAAAAATTTGTTCATAAATATACTTGTTATAAGTGATATCGAATAAGTACTTAGAATACAATCCTGTATCGCCACTCGAAGCTTTCACAATTATACCCTAATAGATAATTATATATTTTCTACAGTTTATAAGAAAAAAAGAGAATTTACTTGCTCGCCATCGTTCTATTATCAATGGGTCGCGATCCATCTAGATTTTATGTAGATCATTACATAATTGATAGATTATGGGAGGGGAGAAGAAGGAGCAATGTGCTGTAACATTTATACAAATTGAACTTATAAAGACAACTTATGCTTACATAATATATAATACTAATATTGCCCGAAATCACGAACGATTCTGAAACAGAAACCTTCCCCGAATTTTGTTTTTGAATTGTTCCGATTACATCGCGATTGATATATAATCTATTTTATTAATTACATAATTTTGTGCATTAAACTTAGTCTTATCAGATACACACATACTCGTACATACATATCATGCGCGTGCACCATCCCGTATAGTGAAGACCCATACAGCACCGAAAGATTGGAGAAACGTTGTATAGACCTTACATTGAAACATTGTAATATTGCATGGAAGTTGCGAAATGTTTCTGCAATGTTACTGCAAGCTTGCGGCAACGTTGAAATGTCCACCCTTAGAAATATTATAATGTAAGACTACAGTAATGTTACGGTGCAATGTATTTGTAATATTGAAATGCGTTCCTACAAATATGCAAAACGCTTCAAATTTAATAGATAAATTTTGAGAATATATAAAGATATCCAAGAGAAATAAAAAAAAAAAAAGATTGTAAATTTACGCAATTACGAGTTTTTTCTCGTCTCTCTTGAATGTCTTTATACAGGGTGTTTCAGAAATAGGTGACCAAACTTTAAAAGCATATTCTACTCACTACAAGGATTAAAAAAGTCATATAAACATGGGTCCGGCAACGCTTTCTTTCCAAGTTTTAAACATTCCTAGTAAACACTGTTATATTAATGTTATATAAGAGCAATAAAAGGAAATGTTACAAATAATATATATAAGTATTACGGTAAGTTACTGGTTAATTGTAATTTTTCACCCATAAATATAACATACAATATAACATATGTTATACCGTTGTTATATCGTAGTATAGTACTCCATATAGAATTGGTTCATATAAAATCTAACATAGATTTGGTAATTAAATAAATAAAAAAAATAATTTATATGTATCTAATTTATAAAACTTGCGATTTAATTTTTATAAAAATTCCGATTTTTTTTTTCAAATAGGCAATAAATGGACTATTTCCCAATTATCCGCCCAATTTCAAATAATCTGTTTGATATTCTAGATTTCTTGTTAAGATTGTGACTGCGTTCCGATATTCACTGCCAGTACTGAAAATCTATAGTTTACGTCACTATAGATATACTATAGATTTTCAGTATCAGCATTGAATATCCAAATGCAGCCTTTATCAGAAATTAAATTGTCAAAAAAAAGATATATCTTTTATCTTATGCAATCCATTTTTTATGGGCTTTATATACACTTCATGACATAAACTTGAATACGAGTTAGTTAAGTCTAATTCGCCGCATAGCGGCAAGCGAAAGAACACATATACATATAACAATATTATATTGCAATCATATTCTGTTATATTATAACACTAAGAGAACAATGTCAGATTGCAATAATATTTAATACAGTAACCATTGTAACATTATACATAATAACACATATGATATATTTCAGCTATATATCATATAAGTAACTTGTATTATATTATTGGTTACTGCCACGTTATATTGTTGCAACAAACAGTGTTTACTGCGTTTTTTATTTATAACAGACTTTAAGAACATTTGAAACTCTAAGAACATTTCATTATAGAAATTGCTGGAAATGATTTTTTTCCGCATGCACGCTTCGCATCAACGTCGCATGGATTTTCGAAGAAGATGTTAAAAAATTCCCGGAGTATTTCGTATTTTGCCACGTACGAAGCAATAATATGATTTGGGAGTACTTCCGCAATAGCAATAGGAATATCATAAATGAGTCTTAAGATATCCCTATAAATAGAACTTCTTGTTTACTTCTAATAGAAAGTGAATAGAAGGACAATTTATGAAACGTGCAAGGCATATTGTCCGATGTAAATAAAAAATGTTTATAACTTGGAAAGGAAACGTTTCCGGACCCATATTTACATAACTTCTTTTCATCTTTATAGTGAGTAGAATATGCTCTTAAAGTTTGCCCACCTATTTCTGAAACACCCTGT